TGAAGCATCTTCTCAGATCACAATGGCATAAAACTGGAAATCAACTACAATAAAAAAAATCCAAAAAAATTAAACACATGGAGAATAAATAGCATGCAATTAAACTATGAATGGGTTACCAGATAGATCAAAGAAGAAATAAAAAAAGATCATGGCAACAAACGACAATGAAAACACAACAATCCAAAATCTATGGGACACAGCGAAAGGAGTCTTGAGAGGGAAGTCTATAGCTCTACAAGTCTACTGCAAAAAACAAAAAAACAGTGGTAATAAATTGCCTAACCCTATAAGTGAAAGTGTTAGAAAGAGAGCAACAAAAAAAGCCCAGTGTAAGCAGAAGGAAGGAAATAATAAAGATCAGAGTGGAGGTAAACAACATAAATTGAAGTGGTCATCAAAAAGCTTCTAGCAAACAAAAGCTTGGGCCAGACAGCTTCAGAGTGGAGTTTTGCCAAACATTATAGGAAGAACTACAACCTATCCTCCTCAGAATAGTCCAAAAAATTCAAGAGGAAGGAACAGTTCCAAGCTCATTCTATGAAGCCAGCATCACCCTAATACCAAAGTCAGATAAAGACACCACAAATGAAGAGAATCATAGGCCAATATCCCTCAAGAACATAGATGGCAAAATCCTCAACAAAATTCTAGCAAATCTGATCCAGCAGTACAACAGCAAGATCATACAACTTTACCAAGTAGGATTTTTGCTAGGGATGCAAGGGTGGTAAAATATTTGCAAACCAATAAATGTGATACATTGGGTAAACAAACTGAGAGATAAAAATCACATAGTCATATCAATTGATGCAGAAAAAGCATTTGACAAAATCTAACACCATTCCATGATAAAAACTCACAACAGGGTGGGAATAAAAGGCTCATAACTCAATGTAATAAAAACCATATATGACAAACCCACAGCTAACATCATACTCAATGGGCAAAAACTTAAACCATTTCCCCAAGGAACAGAACAATCAGGGATGCCCACTCTCACCACTCTTGTTTGACATAGTATTGGAAGTATTCGCTATTATTACACAAGAAGAAGAAATGAAAGTCATCCAAATTGGAAAAGAAGGAAAACTGTACTTATTAGCAAATGACATAATATTGTACATTAAAAAAAACTAAAAAAATTAGTATAGTTAATAAATGAATTCAGGAATGTAGCAAGATACAAAATTAATGCCAAGAAATCTATGGCATTTCTATACACCAATAGTTAACTTACAGAAAGAGAGACTTAAAAAGCAATCCCATTTAATATCACTCAAAAAAAAAATACCTAGGAATAAACTTAACTAAGGCAGTAAAAGACATGTATGTTGAAAACTACAGGACACTGAAAAAAGAGATAGTGGAAGATGTAAACAGATGGAAGAAAATACCATGTTCACAGATTGATAGAGTCAACATCATTAAAATGTGCATACTACCCAAAGCAATCTATAGATTCAATGCACTCCCCATTAAAATATCAATGGCAAATTTCACAAACCTAGAAAGAACTCAAAAATTCATCTGGAATAAAATAAATAAAAAAGGACCCCGAACTGCTGCAGCAATCCTGAGAAAGAAGAACAAAGTAAGTGGGATCTCAATACCAGATTTCAAGCTGTATTACAAAGCCACTGTTCTCAAAACAGCCTGCTACTTGTATAAGAACAGATATATAGACCAAGGGAATAGAATAGAGAACCCAGAAATCAACCCAAAACACTATACTCAATTAATATTTGACAAAGGAGGCATGAACATACAATGGTGTTGGGACAGTCTCTTCAGTAAATGGTGTTGGGAATATTGGACAGATATATGCAATAAAATGAAACTAGACCACCAACTTACACCATACACAAAAGTAAACTCAGAATGGATAAAGGATTTAAACATAAGACAGGAAACCATAAAAATACTAGAGGAATCCACAGGCAGCAAAATCTCAGACATATGCCAAAGTAATTTCTTCACGGATACCACTCTTAGAGCAATGAAAATTAAAGAGAAAATAAATAAATGGGACTACAAGAAAATAAAAAGCTTTTACACATCCAAAGAAACCATCAACAAAACAAGAAAGCCCACTGTACAAGAGAACATATTTGCCAATGTTATCACTGATATAGGTTTAATCTCCATCATTTACAGGGAACTCATACAACATAACAAAAGGAAGATAAACAGCCCAATCAAAAAATGGGCAACTGATCTAAATAGATACTTTTTGAAAGAAGACAGAAGGAAGGCCAGGAGACATATGAAAACCTGCTCAAAGTCACTAATCATCAGAGAGATGCAAATCAAAACAACAATGTGGTACCATCTCACACCTGTCAGAATGGCTATCATCAACAAATCAACAAACAACAAGTGTTGGGTGAGGATGCGAAGAAAAAGGAACTCTTTTGCACTGCTGGTGGGAATGCAGACTGGTACAGCCACTATGGAGAACAGTATAGAATTTCCTCAAAAAACTAAAAAATGGAACTCCCATTTAACCCAGTAATACCACTTCTAGGAATATATGCCAAGAAACTAGAAATACCAATCAGAAAGGATATATACACCCCTATCTTCATAGCAGGACAATTTAAAATAGCTAAGATTTGGAAACAGCCCAAATGCCCATCAGTAGATGAGTGGATTAAAAAACTGTGGTACATCTACACAATGAAATACTATGCTGCAGTAAAAAAGAAGCTCCTACCATTTGCAACAACATGTATGGAGATGGAGAGCATTATGCTAAGTGAAATAAGTCAGGCAGAAAAAGATAAATATCCCATGATCTCACTCATTTTTGGAATCTAATTAACAATATAAACTGATGAACAAAACCAGATCCAGAAACAGAGAAACATCAATCAAAATGTCAAACCTCAGGGAAGAAAACAACTCCAAGACCATGTGGATTCTTGCAACAGAGAGGAATTGTCAAGAGTGCTCCAGCCATGAAGACAAAAGAGAAACAGTCCAGAGATGGAAGACGCTGAGGATACTTTGCCATACTAACAGTCAGCAGCTGTGCATCGCTGAAGGATGCCCAGGACCAAACCAAGAGAGGCTGACCTGCATTACCACTATTTGTTCACCATACAGAACTGAAATATCATTGCTAACATGTACACATAAGGAACTGTTTGACATAGAAATTGGGACTCAAAAGAACTGTTGGCCCAGAAAGAAACTCACTATAGACTGATTCATTTGCCTCTCAGTTTCCATTATTGGTTGTCTCATTTTCAGTTCTTATAAGTGTATTTCTAGTATTACATGAGCTCACTCATATAGGGGAAATGATGAACAACATAGACTGATGAACAAGAACAGCATCGATCAGACTGTCAGACCTCAGAGGGAAAGTAGGGGAAGGTAGGTATAAGGGAGAGATATCAACCAAAGAACTTGTGTGCATGCATATGAGCCTAATCAGTGGTCACAGACAACAGGGGGGTGGGGGCATGCGTGGGGAGGAGTTTGGAATGGGAATGGGGGGGGTGATGACAACTATGTGATATCTTAATCAATAAAGTAAATTTAAAAAAAAGATAAATGATATAATTTTAAAAATGGCCAACAAACCTAAATAGACACTTTTTGAAAGAAGACAGAAGGAAGGCCAAGAGGCATATGAAAACATGCCCAAAGTCATTAATTATCCGAGTGATTCAAATCAAAACAACAATGTGGTAACATCTCACACCTGTCAGAATGGCAACCATCAACAAATCAACAAAGGATAAGTGCTGGTGAGGATGTGCAGAAAAAAAAAAGAACCCTTGTGCAATATTGGTGGGAATGCTGACTGGTGTGGCCACTGTGGAGAACAGTATGGAGTTTCCTTAAAAACCTAAAAATGGAACTCCCATTTGACCCAGTAATCCCACTCCTTGGAATATATCCCAAGAAACTAGAAACACCAGTTAGAAAGGATATATGCACCCCTATGTTCATAGCAGCCCACTTTACAATAGCTAAGATTTGGAAACAGCTTAAATGACCCTCAGAAGATGAGTGAATTAGAAAAACATGGTACATTTACACAATAGAATAGTATGCTGCTATAGAAAAGAAGGAATTCTTACCATTTGCAGCAGCATAGATGGAACTGGAAAACATTATGCTAATTGAAATAAGGCAGTCAGTGAAAGAAAAATACCACTTGATTTACTCATTTATGAAAAATAAAGAATATTACAACCTGATGAATAAAAAGATATAGAGAGGCAGTGAAGCATGGAACAGACTGTCAAATTACAGCAGAAAGGCTGGGGAATGTTGGAGAGCTGGGGTAAGAGATCAACCGAAGGACTGGTATGCATGCATATAAGCACAATCAATGGACACAAGACACTGGGGTGGGTGGGATGAGGGCATGGGACCCAGGGTAGGGAAGGCTGGGGGAAGGTCAATGGGGAAAAATGAGATATATGTACTACTGTTTGTAATGCTTTAAACAATAGAATAAAATTATAAAAAAGCACACTTAAACCACACAAAAAAATATCACATAACAGAAAGACAGAGAGATGTATGTGTTGACTTAGAAACAGCTCCATGATGTTTTGTTATATGAAAAATGCAAGGGGCAATACAATGGGCATAATTCTGTAAAAATGAACAAACCTGCTTATAAGTAAATAATAATAATAATAATAATAATAATAATAATAATCACTGAGAAAAAATAATAGGTTTGTAGATTCATTCTTAACTTTTAGATTTATGTGTTTAGATTTATGTTTGTGGCAGTAATAATCAGATAGATCAAAAGTAAGTTATAGGGTTGGTTATGGATTTGTAAATAGTATGGTTGAGTCCCTTGTCTTATCACCATAGTGGATTAAGGGAAAAACTAACAATTGGTGAAAATTAAAATACATAAAATGAAGATTCAGATTCATAAACCCTATGCAATTTCAAAAATTGCATTGATGAATTTTCTCCACAATAGTTTGCTTAAACTTTGAAAAATTAATTTGATGACTTACTCAAAATTTGAAGTACACCAAGACCATTCTTTTTGTCTTTAAAAAATGAATTATCTCTAGGAGAATGTTTTTAAAACGCACCTTAATGAGTTGGTAATTTTGAACTCCGTTTATTCCTATGTCAGGATCAATGGCCGCTGGGAGAGCAAATCGAGAGTTTATAGCTGAGTTCTCTGGAATTGATATGTTGATAACAGTTGCTGGGAATAATGGTGCATTATCATTTATATCTTCTATCAGAAAACGTATTTTAACCAGTCTAAATATTTCATCTGGCAAAACGGCAACTTCCACTTCATAAAAGCAATGGCCATCCAGCAAGATACCAGTACATAATTTCTCACGATCAATGCGGGCTCCTGTAGTGAATATCTCACCAGTTCCTTCTTCAATTCGGATCAATGGCACTTCCCCAGTCTTGTACACTAGCTTGAACTTCATGGGAATTTTTAAGGACTTGTGTCCAATTAGGGACAAGTTGAGGTCTTTCAATAAGTCGCCTATCAGGACATTCTCTGGCATTTCTTCTCGAATGGAATAGTTTTTCTCCTGGGCGCCAGACTGAAACACGACGCATGCTAACAGGACCGCAAATATATACGTCCCGGACAACAAGTCCATAACAGGTACAAGGCTCAAAGTTCTTTGTACCCCTCGCCCTGCAGAGTACTGTCAAAAAGAAAAGAAAAAGAGAGAAAGAGAAGAGATAGAAAAAGAAGAGGAAGAAGAAATTAGTAAAGCTGACAATTAAATGTATGTTAAATAATTATCAGTTTTAAATTAAAATCATTAAACAAAATCCAATCAAAACTTGTAAAGAAACTTAGATTTTTTAAAGTAAAATATTATAAATTTTTACATTAAAATGTACAATGAAACAAGGTATCTACAGTAATTAAAAAGTCTGAGAAGTTATGTGTCCACCATTGATAAAATATGTAAAACATAATATTATAATATACCAAGCTAGTTAAAGTTAATAAAATAATTAAAATATTTAATTAGTTAAGGAAAAGTAAAGGAATATTTTACCAATCAGAAAAACATAATCATTATTCTTTGTTACAATATGGATTTCAAATGCAATTCTTCTATAGGTAATGAAGATATTATACAATATTTTGAGTATTTTGTTCTAGGAATCAAAATGTAAAATCTATCTAAATAACAGGAAATAAAAAATCATGATATATGAGTGACTTGGGAAGTTTTGATTTTAAAAAAGTCCTTTCAGAGGAGAGTAGTTTATATGACAAATACCTAAACATGGGAAGAATTATGCATAAAGCATATTAAGATTTCTCTCTTTGAATAAGAAGAATAAGGATAAATTATAGGGAGGAAAATAAATTTTGTTAGTTCAACACAAACAGCTGCCTATTAATACATTTTGTAAAAAATAGTTTTCAGGAGAGAATTAACTCAATGTCTTTGAAGGTAGTGACAGAGAAAATGCATCACCAGGTTAGCTCTACATAATTATGATTTGGCAGACAATATCCAGACATTCAGTGGGAGAATTGGACTAGAAAACATCTGAACTATGAGAATTTGTGTTTATACATGATTGACAATAGTCCATATGAAATGGGTTTTCACATCTACACACTGAAATAAAAATTACCCAACAACAAGGAACAACTTGACTAGGGTTTAAAAATTTAAAAAAAGTCATTTGAAATCACTTTGCTGAGTTAAACCACTAAAATCTGCCAAATTATTTCAGTTCTCTGGTTCTTCTGATAAATTCAATAAGGGATTTTTATTATTTAAAATTTGCAACTTTATACATTTTCCTTTATTAATTCTCAATTTTTATTCTCAACTAGATTAGTGTAATATAGCATTAATATTGGTATATTCAATACATTTTAATATATAGTATCATGAAACATTTCATATGCTTCTATATGTTATTTGTAGTTAATATACAAACACAATAAAATGTGTATCATACTGCACTAAACCCTATCAGATGTTATATTTTTATAATTAAAGAGTATTAATGCAGTTATCAAAGTTTTAAAAGATTAGCTAACAAATAGTGATTTAAAAATTCTTTAAGGAAAACTATTAATGCAGATAGGTATATGTAATTAAGGAAGTTTTCAATATTTATTGGTAATCAATAACTCATAAAAATTTTAGTAAAAACAGAAGGACTCATGAAATGATACATCTTGTTATAAGCATAATGGTTTGATTATGCCAAATAATGTATTATGTTAAATAATTTCCCCACTGTATAGCTGGGCATCTGCATTAAAAAAAATATTCACATGAACAGATCAGAAAACACAAAAGTGAAAAAAAGGACAATTTCTTATTTGCAATCAGTAATAAAATAAATCCATTTGTTAGAACAATTGAGATGGTTTAGGTCATGAGGAAAACAAAAAAATAAACTAGATAAACTTGAAACATATCATTTTATATTTCTTTTCACTGAATTTTAAAAGTATATATTTTGAGCTCAACCACTTTCCTGTGTTGAGGTGCCATTTAACAAAACATTTTAGGTATAATATTAAGCAACGCTAATGCTAAAGAAATTATCTATCTCAGTAAAGAGCACAAAATACTATTGCCTGTGGTATTTTCAGCATCATTTGCTCAATGATAAGCATCAGGATTATGTAATATAGAAACCTCAAGATTCATTCTCTTGTGAATCATTGGCCTTACACTCCTTTATGAAACTGAGAGTAATTTATCATATTTATACTTACCATGAGTTATACACACACATTTACATGTGTACTATACATTGTGAATCTAGGACATCTGAAAAATGAGTGTTTATGTGTGTGAATTTATAAATGCCATGCAAACATAAGCAAAAGTAAAAATGGGAACACTGACAACTGGAATTAAAACTACCACTCTATTCTTGTCTTACCCTTAGGTGTTACACATTATTAAAACTGGAGGAAGAATACTACAGACCATTTTTAGAAACAATAAATGCATGTTACAATATTTCTACACAAAAGGAGATATCAATTAAGTGACCCAATTCCGAACAGTCTCCCTCTCCCAATCCACTATAATCTGTCCTACTCTATCATTTAATAACATCATCAAAGAAAAAAAAAAGGAAACTGTGCTTTATCATTCAAAATTCATTTGGAGGTTTTAAAAACCATGGGAAAATGAAAAAGAAAAAAAAAGACAATGTCATTTCTAAAACTGAAATTAAAATACATATTGTAAACCTGAAATGAAAATTTACCTTCTAGTTAGTAATTACTATCATGACAGTTTAGTCACTTATCAAAAAATATTTATTAAGCAATTTTCATACTCCATGCACTGTTACAGGGGACTGAGAATATATCAGTGAAAAACAAAACAAAACAAAAAAACAGATAAACATACCTGTCCTCACAGAGATTATATATGATTATATAAACATTCCAAAATATCTTTAATTCAGTGTTAAACCAATATATAACAAAGTCAATTCTGCTACCAGGATGTAGACATACATGATTAAATAACCTCATTCTCATTGTTTGGTTCCAACCCTTGTATTGTCTAGTTGAATATGTATTGTTTTATATACTAAATTATTTACAAAACAAAAATTAAAATGGATTTTCTTTAAAATTTTGAATTTAATTCTTTGAATTACTAATATACAATAGAAATTTAGCTACTAAATATGACTATAAATAGTCACTGCTTGGTTTTATAGAAGCAGGATACATTTACATCAGTTATTCAGGGAAAATATTCTTACACATGTACCTTTGCTTGGCTAAAGTTTCTTTCATGAACAAATTATAACCTTAAATTTTATTTCACCATTCGTCCATATCCCACTCCTATTATAACATAAGGTTAGTCTGTAAATTGCTAGGACAATGAGATCAGATATAGAAAATAAAATTTTTCTCCAGGTTTCAGTAGTGCTGTTTAAGTGATGTTATCATAGGCAATATATAGTGATTGTTTAGGCATCATAGAGAGACAGAATCATGTTAATTAGAGATAGCAAATATTGAATCAAAAGAAGCAACTCTAAAATTTTAAGATATGAAAAGCAAAAGTTTAAGTTTATTTTATAGTCTCTGAACAATCTAGTTCTAAATAAGGTAAGTTGGTTGGGAAACTAAGCCTCTACTATGCAATTCTAGAGAGTTTAAATCATAAAAATGATGTTGAAATAATTGGTCAGATAATCCCAAGGAGTAATTTCCTTTACATACTTGCTACATTTCCCTTCATTAACAAGCTGTGTTTAATTTATTTTACACTTAATTCTATAGGGGTGAATGGCTTACATACTACAATAATAAATTCTTTAAAGTAGTACTAATTTAGGTATTACATGGAAGAAAAAATATATATATATATATGTTGGCCATAATCCTAACTCCACTTGGCTCCAACCATTCTAACTACTTTAATGTCTCTTTAAGTAAACAACAACAACAACAAAAAATTAAAAAACCTCAATATAGTCACTTCTATGTTATTGTTCTCATGCACTGACAAAACTTCTTTCATAAGCAGGGGAAACGTTAAGGTGGTTCTTAAGGTTGACAGGAAAAAAATCTTAGGACTTTGCAAGAAAAGAAACCATGTCTGGAGAAAACATACTGGAGAAACTGCTACACTCAATGTTTTCAAAGGGACTGGTCATAGTGAAAGTGAGGGAGGTGCATTGGTGTCCTGTTTGACTTAACTATTTACTATGTATTCTTAAACTTGAATTTTCAAAATTAAATATTTAATAAGGTTCTTTAATTCCATAAAACTGGTATTTGTAACAATTTTATTTCACAATGGACTCATGGATTCCATTTTATTTTTATGGATCTAAATTTAACATTGTGTCTAATTTTCTCTAAGAAGTGGATTCAATCAATGTTGCTTCCTTCTATAAATGTTTATATTTTGTTGATGCTTTCAAACCTGCAAACTTTTTGGGTACAGGATGATGGTCTAACCAACTGAACTCCTTGCCAGGGATATATCCTATTGATTCATTCTAACACTCCACAACAGTTAGTGTAGAATTCTCTAACAGGGTTTCAAATAAGTTAATAATCAATTTTTAAACAGCACTTAAAAGATACTTTATGGAGGGTGCTCTTTTATACTAATTATGCTGAATTTTTATGTTTGATTTAGGGAGAATTTGTAATAGGGGATTAAAGATTATTAAAGAAATAATTATATCTCATATAATAAAATGCTTATCCATCATCATATATTTTTATCAAGTTGGGGTGAATTTAATAATGAATACATCAGAATCTATAAATTATTTTAATACTAGTGACCTAGCATACCATTCAAGACCCAGGACCCCAAGCCACACCACGCTGTGGGGCTCCCCCAAGTTGCTCAGCTCTGCAAGACCCACAATCAAGTCCCCGCCCACCTGCTCATGCCTCTTCTTGCACGGAGCCTCCTGGTGACCAGTCTTTGGTTGTTATAGCATTAGGGCCCCTGGGTTATTATAATATGCATATATGGTCATTAAGTATCCTATCTAACAAAGAGGGAACATGCTAATTTACCATCACACCCTTACAAAGATGGTGGTGCCCACAGCCAATAAGAAGGGAGTATGCTAATTGACCGTCATGTTTTCAAAGATGGCGGTGGCCACAGCCACAAGATGGTGGCGCCCAGTCCCCACAGCCCTGCCAGG